AGCTCTGCAAAGGGAGTGCCTGTCTTTTCCCTCCCCCCTCCCCCGCTTTCACCCTCCTCCTCCTCCGCTTGCTTCCTTCCTCCCTTACGCTTGTTTGTGCATTTTGGAGGCGGGTTGTTCTTTCCGTTCGCTTGCTTCGCCGCTCTCCGGCTGTTATTTCTCTTCCTTTTGTTGCTCTTCAGCGAGGTGGCCTATCGTTTTCATCATTTCTTTTTCGTTTGTTTGTTTTCAGTTTCTGCTCTCTGTCCGTTTCTCCGTTGGCTTGATAGTACATATATATATTTGTTCTTTCGCTGCGCACTCACGCACGCACCTGGCGCCGCGGGGAGCGGGCACTGAAAGAAATTTGCAGCCGCTGAGGGAGTCACGGCGGCCCCGCGCGCTGGACCCAAACAGAAGGAGGTGAGCGTGAGTGTGTGTGTCTGGGTTTCCTGCCATGCCCACGTATGTACACGTGCAATTGGAATTTTGGCGGTTGCTGCTCCGTTGTCTTATTCTTCTCTCTCTTTCTTTCTTTTCTTCTTGTGCGCCCTGTGGCAGGGGGAGACAGTCGTTTTTCTGCACTCATGCCGGGGCGCGAAAAAGGACGTCGTGTGAAGAGCCAAACAAACCCGCTCGGCGATGACCTGCACGCCGATCGTTTTGCCAGTGCCAAGCGACACGCAGCTGCGGCGGAGGATGACGGGGACAGGGACGCAAACGGCATTTTGTTGCCGGGCCGCACGACGAGCCGAATTCTCAAAACTGCCCGGCAGCAACTCGAGGCGATCGCCGAGGAGGAGCAGCTTGCCATTGACCGCATCGGCGCCGAGGACGATGATGACCACGGCCTGCATGACCCTGGTTTGGCAGAGCTTGAGGGCGGCGACGGCGGCGTGTACGAGGATTACGAGGAGAACGAGGAGGTTGTGATTGAGTATGACGACACGGAGTCGATTGTCTCGGAAATTCCCTCCGAGATGGACATGGGGGCAGACATGTACGGCATTGACGAGGAGGAGGCGCGTCTGCTGCAAAAGTTTCAGCCGCCGTCGCAGGTGCAGAGCCGCAACCTGGCGGACATGATTATGGAGAAAATTAGGGAACGCGAGGGGGTACGCAGCGCGGCGGGTGACACGCGCGATGACGCCAGCGTCGCGGAGTGCGAGGAGGAACGGGTAGACCCACGCGTTGCGCGCGTGTACACGGCCATTGGCACCATTCTTAAGAGCTATAAGTCAGGGAAGGTGCCCAAGGCGTTTAAGGTTTTGCCAAATATTAAGAACTGGGAGCAGCTCTTGATGTTGACGAGGCCGCACGAGTGGTCCCCGCATGCTACGTATCAAGCCACACGCATCTTTGCCGCGAATCTAAATGAACGCATGGCGCAACGCTTCTATGCCGCGGTGCTGCTTCCTATGGCCCACCAGCGCATGTTAACTGAGAAGAAGCTTCACCCGGCGCTCTACATGGCGATTCGGAAGGCGCTTTTTAAGCCCGTGTCCTTTTTTAAAGGATTCATTTTGCCACTGGCAGCTGACGAGGAGTGTACGCTGAAGGAGGCTCTCATTGTTGCCAGCATTTTGCAGCGAATGCATCTGCCGCCTGTCCCAACCGCCGTGACGATTGTAAAACTGGCACAGCAGCCATTTTCTGGTCCCCGCTCCGTATTTTTGCGTGTACTGATTGACAAGAAGATGGCCATGCCTTATCAGGCGGTGGACGCGCTCGTCGGGTACTTCCACCGGTTTGTGCACACCCACAGTAGGGAGGAGAAGCTGCCCGTCCTGTGGCACCAGACCCTCCTCTCCTTCACGCAGCGCTACAAGGGCGATCTGACTGCCGACCAGGTGAATCTGCTGCAGCAGGTCTGCGCCAAACACTTTCATTATCTGTTAACCCCTGAGGTCCGCCGCGAGCTTAACGCCGCCCCGAATGCCGCGCGGACGTGAGGCTGAAACCCAATAAAAAAAAAAGAAATGAAAAGAGTTCCTCTGGCCTCAAAAAAAAAGCAACCTGAAAATGATGAGGGAGGGCGCATACACGTAAACGCGTGTAAAAACAAAATAATCAAGCAAGCAAGAGTGACTGGCAGCGCCACTGCGGGCTTCGTTTAAAGGAAAAAAAAAGAGGAGGGATGGCGCGAGCACAGAGCTGCGGTGTGCGTATGCGTGTGCGTGCTGGTGGCGGTGGCAGACGAACAGTAAGGCGAAGTAAAAAAAAAAAAAGAAAAGAAAGAAAAAACAAGAAGAAGGAAGTGTTGAAAGAGAGAGAGAGGCTTCCCCATTGTTTTGTCGTCACCGCTGCTGCTTCCCTGAATTTTAACATTCGCTACGATCCCTCTCGCTCCATTTGTCGCTGCGCTTCTTTTTTTTTTTTATTACCCGTCCCTCTTTTTTTTTTTTTCTCGCGACAGAACCGATTTGTCGTTTGGTGTTTACAAGGGGACAGCCAAGCAGGAGGGGCAACAGAGCGGCAGTAGGTTTTCCTCCTCCTTTTTCTTCTTCCCATTGCATCTGACGGCGGGTGGGTTTATTTGCCTTCGTGTTTCTTTGGTTTTCAACGAGAGGCGTGCCATCGCATTAAACACACACATACGCATGCGACGGTGCCTTTCCGCCTGTGGGCTGCTTGCCCGCGTTGCCACCACACACCGCGGCGTCGGGCGGTGTGTACCACCGCCACTGCCACCAGGAGCTCGTGGCACACCACCACGTGTTGCTGCCTCTGGCAGGTTACCACCACCCCCGCCGTTGCCGGGCGCCGTTGCTGCCTCTGCCAGCGCTGTACTGCCGTGGAAGTCGCCACAGGAGGTTTTGACAGCATTTATTGAGTTTATTCCCACCTTCTACGTTCCCATCCACTGTGTGGCGGCGATCCTGTCGGAGGAGTGCCGCAAGCACTTTATTGGACGTGGCCGCTTTCTCTCCTTTCTTAAACGTTACCGCTTTTTCTTTGAGTTGCGTGTCATCGATGGGGTTCGCTGCGATGTGAAGCTGCGCGATGACTTGAGCCATCCTCGCCGTGGCGTCGCGGACGAGAAGTTTGTGATGACAGACGTGGGCGATGTCATCAACTACGTCGCCAAGTCGGAGTTTATTGTCTCTATTGAGTCGATTGAGCAGGGAAACACGAGTGTGGCGCTGAAACCGGTGTGTGCTCCGCCTGCCGTGCATGTGCGATTGGAAGAGAAGGTGCCGGTGCTGGAGCGCCTCAAGGCGCTTGTCCCGGATGAGTTTGCGCTGCTTGATCACGTGGAGGAAGATATACCGGAGGATGTCCTGTTTCACCCCTACTTTGATTGTCAGGGCGGTCTCATCTCCATCGCGTCAAAGTTCCCGGAATTTTTTCAGGTGGTGGATGGCATGATACGCCGCCGACCACCGCACCTCGCTCCGCTTGCACTCAACAGCTACACGCTGGAGGAGTCACCGATTCCCAGTATCGCGGCGCTGGTGGAGAAGGAGGTGTGTGACAGCGACATACCCCACTGGGTGAGCATCACGTCGCTTTATGAGCAGCTGACGCGGGAGCAGAAGCGGCAGATTAAGCGGGAGTACAAGAGTTTTGCGGGGTTTTTGCGCTCACACGGCCGCTCCCTGTCGCTTTCGCAGGACATGCTACAAGTAGCAAAATGGACTCCCCAGACGCGCAAAACCGCACCCTCAACATCATCTCCCGTTGCCGCGGGTGCGGCAGAAAGCCGAATAGAAACCACAAACAGTGAGAGGAACAGTAATGATGTTGTGGAGGCAGAAGCAGCAAAGGCACAGGCCCACGGCGTGACCATTCACTACGAGTACACACATACGCAGATTATCAATGAGCTTTTTGACAAGTTTCCACCGCATCGCACGCTAAATTTGGAGGAATTGCTTGACCTCGTCTCCCCCGCCATGCGTCCCTCATTGCCAAAGAAGGTGCTGGCGTGGCTTGCCTCGTACCCGACCTACTTTCTCGTGGACGACTCCACTGAGAGGGATCCCCTCAAGGCTCGCATTCGACGTGCCTCAGATCGCCAGCCGCTGGATGTGGCTCTAGAGTTGTACCAATGCATTCCTGATGACGGTATCTCTGAGGCGGCTTTGCTTACGAAACTTCCCGAGGTGCATCGAGAGTACGTGAAGCGGATTGGGCTGAAACACATTGTGAACTCCCTCTCCGAGTGGCTCAGCCTCACAGAAGTGACAGGCGGTGCTGCGGGGGAGAAGAAGGTGCTTGTGCTGCGGCGGCTGCAGACGGAGGTGGACCTCCAGCGTGCCATTCACTCTGAGGAATCCAAGGTGGAAGGTAGAGATGAAGGATCGGCGTCGGTGCTGTTCGAGCAGCCGGAGCTGCAGCGCCGGCGGCTAAAGTACGAGGGGAGGATGAACCAACCGCAGCCACACACGGCGCGAGCGCACCAGCGAGGCGGTCATGGCGGTTTCTAGGCACCAATCGCAGGCGAAGCTGAAAATAATGCGTTGGAAAAAAAGAAGAACGCGGGGTTCGGTTTCGTGCCATGCATTCAGAGCTTGATATGTTGGGAGAAGGACGCAGCTCCGCGCGCTGCACAGAAGGAGGAGGGAAGGAAATTGCACCCACTGGCTTGGAGCGCCCCTTCCGCAGGTGGAATGGGCGGCTGTGACTGTGCGGCAACATTCATTTCTGGCGGGGCAGCGGGATGCCTCGTCTTTTTTTCTTGTTTCTCGCTACGTGTCTGTTCCTTGCCACCTTCACGAGCCGCTGGGAACACGAGAGGCGAGGCAGACGTTTATTCACCTCTCTCTTTTTTTCTTTTGGTTTTGCAAATGCACATCTACCCACACATGTAAGTAAGCAAGGAGAAAGCGTATCCATCTTTGTATTTATTCCTTCACGGGCATCATGTCGGACCCCGCAAAGCCAAAGACCCCAAACAACCAGGAGAACAACGGCGGCAACGCTGTGTCCAAGAACGCAGAAAAGAAGCAGGCAAAACAGAATGAGAAGGACGCCCGTAAGGCGGCCCGCTTAGCGGAGGAGGCCGCGCGTGCGGCGGAAAAGGCAGCTCAGCTGACGAAGTACGCCAACTTTTTTGGTACTGCCCCGTTGTTGCAGTCCACCACGTACGGCTCCAAGAAATTTAGTGAAATTTCTGCGCTGACCAAAGCGTCTGTGGGCACCGTTGTGACGCTTCGTGCCCGCGTTGACACGACACGCAAGAAGGGCAAGCTTGCCTTTATGGTACTGCGCGACGGCGGGAATTCCATTCAAGCCATGACGGCCGTTGCGGAGGATGTACCAAAGGAAATGATTGATTTTATCGGGCAGATTCCGTGCGAGTCGATTGTGGACGTTGAGGCGACGGTGTGTGGCGTGGAACAACCCATCACATCCACCACGCAGCATGATATTGAGCTGAAGATCAGCAAGGTACACGTGCTGAGCGAGGCGCTGCGCGTGCTGCCGTTTACGCTGGAGGATGCGTCACGCCGCGAGGATGACGAGGGCATTAAGATTAATTTTGACACCCGACTTGGGTGCCGCTGGCTGGATCTCCGCACCCCAGCCTCAAACGCCATTTTTAAAATGCAGTCCAGGGTGCGACAGTACTTCCGTCAGTTTCTCCTGGACAATGACTTTGTGGAGATTCACTCGCCGAAGATCATCGCCGCCGCAAGTGAGGGAGGCGCCAACGTGTTCAAGGTGGACTACTTCAACCGCAACGCCTACTTGGCCCAGTCTCCGCAGCTGTACAAGCAAATGGCTCTGCAAGGCGATTTTAAGCGCGTTTTTGAGGTGGGCCCCGTCTTCCGCGCGGAGAACAGCAACACCCACCGTCACCTGACCGAATTCGTTGGCTTGGACGTCGAGATGCGGATAAATGAGCATTACTACGAGGTACTTGACACCGCAGAGGAGCTCTTCTCTTACATGTTTGCAAACCTTGCAAAGCATACGGAGGAACTTGTCGCCATTTGCAGGCAGTACCCGTTTGCGTCACTGTTATGGCAGCTGACACCGGAGACGATCAAGACTTTGGGTGTGGGCATCATTGAGGATGGCGTGGAGCCAACAGATGTCTACAAGGCGCGTGTTCGCAACATGGGGATGCGTATGCTGCGCATCAACTACCCGCACTGCATTGAGCTCCTGAACACCGTCTTGGAGGAGAAGTTGTCTCCGACCGATGACATCAACACCGCCAACGAGAAGTTGCTTGGCAAGCTGGTGAAGGAGCGCTACGGTGTGGACTTCTTTATCTCCGACCGCTTCCCCTCGGTTGCGCGGCCCTTCTACACGATGCCGTGCTCCGACGACGAACGCTTTACGAACTCATACGACATGTTTATCCGCGGTGAGGAGATATCGAGCGGGGCGCAGCGTATTCACGATTCATCCCTCCTGCTGCAGCGCGCCAAAACACTCGGTGTCGACCTTTCGCCCATCAGGGACTACGTGGACTCGTTTCGCCTTGGCGCATGGCCCCACGGCGGCTTTGGTGTTGGTCTTGAGCGGGTGGTGATGTTGTACCTGGGCCTCCACAACGTGCGCCTCGTCTCGCTCTTTCCGCGTGACCCGCAGCGTGTGACACCGTGAGTTTTCAGCTCCGCATTGTTATTCATTTACTTTTGTTTTATTTTTCTCTTTCCACATTTTTTTCTTTGGTGTGTGGAATGAGCTTTCTCTCTCTCTGTGCATGTATGTGTGCGTGCTTGAGAGCGTAAGGCGTTAACGGGGCGGTGGGTAAACAGGCGAGCCCCCAAGGAGTAAAAACAAAGAAAAAAAAACAACAACAACAACGAAACAAACAGAAACAAGCAGGCAGGCGCGAGGCCGGTGGCGTTGCTGGCGGTTGATACTCACGTGTGTACGACTCTTTCTCTCTTTCTCTCTCTGTGTGTGTGTGCGGGCAGATGATGGGGCGGCGTAACGTGCGGGGAGCGTCGCTCTTCTTCGTGATGCCGCCGAACTCCACCTGCCGTCTCTCCTGTCTGCTGCTGCTGTGTGTGCGCTGCTCCCACAACTGCTCCACCTTTTTCTTCTTCTTGTCTCTCGTGTTGTGGTTGCCGCTGCTCAGGAGGGAAGCCATTGGGTCAAAAGTACTGCAGAAAACACACCGCCGCTTCCAGACACGCGTGGCTTCACGAAACGGGAAAAGCGTATCATCCTTTTCTCTCGCCTCCCCGCAAACGCCGCCACGGCCAAAGAGACGGGGGGAAACAAACCAGGGTAATAATAATAATAATAATAAAATAGACTTGGACGATTTCGTAAGTGACAACGAAGGAAACAAACAGTAAACAAAGAAACAACAATACAGAAAAGAGCACAGCTGCAGACAACACACTAGCGAAGGCTCAGCAGTGCGGGGGAAAAAAAACCCTTTTCTTTGTGCCTCGGCTTCTGAGGGCGAAGGAGAATTTAGCAGAGGGGAATAGATAAAAAGGGAGGGCATTTGTCGCAGACCAGACACAGACACGGTTTATCATACTCCACACCACCGCAACCCCGGACAACGCCCAGATGACCTCCTCGCTGAAGGCGGACGTGAAGGAGTACATACCTTCGTGGGCCTGCAAGCGGCCCTCCGCCGCTGCACCGGTGCCCGACAATGGAATAACGACCTCCTTGCCCACGGCCCCGATAGTGAGGACGCATGGTAGTCCCGCTTGGACCAACACCCAGCCGTATGCTTCGTCCCCAAGCGCGGCTGGAGCTTTGCCCCTGCGCAGCCCTACAATGGCAATTCGTCTTCCCACACGGATGAGTCCCATGCACGCGATCTTTCCTCCCGTGGCATTCGCCATGAACCCAGACGCAAGGGACTTTATTCCGCACTTGGCTGGTGCCAATTCGCTCGCCCCACTTCCAACGTCGACAGCCGACATTGCAGAAGAGAAGGAGCGCCAGCAGAAGCGGCAGGACTGTTTGCCGTCCGGTGCAAAGTGGACGACCACCTCAACGAAGAACAACGTTACACAGACAATGCCGTCGCCAGCAGTGAAGGCCGGTTTTACACCGCTTGCCGCTCCGATTTATGTGGAAAAGACCGAGGAAGAGATTCTAGAGATTAGTAAACGTAGCTCTCTTAAAGTGGGGGCGGCAGCGTTTGTTCCTCGCCGCACGTTAAACCGCGTGATGATCAGCAAGCAGTCTCCCTTTTCGCTCACACCGGCGACGGGTGAAATGACGCTGGCTGATTTGTGGTGCCTGTTTTACCTGCCTGCTGGGCTGGGGGAGTGCATCCGGGAAAACACGTACGACCCAACACTCGTGTTTCGCGTGGATTCCGTTGCCACCTTCTGGAAGGTCTTCAATAACGTCCCTCGACCGACGGAGATGACGATTGGCACGTTGTACTTCTTCCGGGACGGGATCAATCCAAAGTGGGAGGACCCTGGCAACCGCGACGGCGGCATTTTGAAGATCAAAGTAGACTCCAGCTGCATCAACGATGCGTGGGTGTACCTGCTGTGCCGCACCATTGGGGAGTCGTGGTCCAAGTCCGTGCGTGACACCATAAATGGCGTGGGCCTAAAAGTACGTGAGCGTGCGTTCCTGCTGGAGGTGTGGGTCACAAAGCAAAGCCCTGATCTCATGATGGATATCACTGAGCTGTTGCAGCCACATCTAGGCGACGTCTTCTCTGTGTTTTATGCGCCACACACCGTGACGCAGAAACGTGCCGCCGCCGCTGCTGCTGCTGCTTTGGCTGAAAAGAAGAAAAATAGGCAGAACCGCCGCCGCTGGTGAGGAGGAAGGGAGGTTGCGGGGGCGCCTGCCTGCCGGCTTTTTTGCCTGCGAGCTTGTTTGTGTCCATGTATGTGTGGCTGCGCTTCTCACAGGCATGCGCATGGGTGGCGGACCGAACATTTATTCGGTGGTGTGGAAGAGTTTTGCAGGGCGGGTGCGACGAGGCGGATCAGCGACACGAAGCATAAAAGGAAGAGGATGCAGACGTGAGGCGTCGAAGGACCAATTAGTCGACGATGAATGAAGCTAAATAACTAAATAAACGAATTGGACATGTGAGTCACCGCGGAATAACTTAGGCAGAAGGAAAACACGGGGCGAACAAATAAACGCGAAAAGGAGGGCGTTTCCCCTGTTGAGCGTGCGAGGCTGTTAACTGAGTGGTGTGGGCGGGTGGCGGTAGTGAGCACCCCACACACATAATGGGAGGGGAAACGCGGAGGTGGAGGGGCCGCGTCGGCGTGGTTATGTGCACCACAGCCGCTGGCATCATCCGGTGTGGGCGGGTAGGCGCAGTGCGATATAAACACACAAAAATGAAAATGAAAAGAAACGGAAGAAGTACAAGGAGAGAGCAAACGAAGGTAAGCAAAGGCGCCTCCTCTTTTCCTCCCTTTCGCCTGCAGGAGGTTGAGGCAAATAAACAGGCGAAGGAGCGGCGAAAGGAACTACGACACACACACACACACACAAAACAGGCCCCTCTGCCCCCACCCCCGAAGTCCTCCAACGGAGCCGCGCATGTAACACATTCAATGCCGTCTATTCGGCAAGAAGGCAAAATAAAAGAAAACGAAAGTGAGAAACGCCGATAACACGTATTCAGTGAAAACACTTGAGCCCGCTGTCTGTATGGGGAGGGCGGAAAAAAAAAAGACTGGTGTGCCTTGGCATGTGGGCACGCCTGCCGCCCATTTTTCTTTTTCTTCTTTGCCGCGAAACGTTTTTCTTTTTTTTTTCTATTCCTTTGCCGTCGCAAGGGTTAAATGCGGTGCGCTCTGTCTTTGCCGGCAGTTCTGGCTTCCGGTAGCCGATGCATCACGTGGTCACAGCGGTGGGGTCAACCCGCGGCATTCAAGGCGGCGGCGGCGGCCACGCGATGCATCGGCTCACTCGCCTTTGCTCCCACTCGTATCAGCCACAAGGACCAACGGCGTGGCGACCGTGGCGAGTCACGCCGCCTAACCTTCGAGGAACGTGCCGAGCGCCGCACGGGGAAGTCCCGTGAGCTGAAGATGGTGCGGAATAACCTTTTGCAGGAGGCGGAGCAGGTCATCCAGGCGGATGTCCCGGACGAACTCGAGCACATCTTCATGCAGCACTTTGAGCGGGCGAACGTGTGCGCCATGAAGGTGTTGAACATGGCGAAGTGCTTGGAGCTCTTAGAGGTTGACGTTGGCGGCGGGCGTAAAGTTCTCCTTACGAAGGTGGCGCAGGTTGTGAAAACGAGCAACTCCACCATTGAGATTGTCCCGCAGAACGCGAGCTTCGCCAGCCCCATTCTTCACCGCGTGACGCGCTTTGACACGACGCTGCATGTGACTAAGGAGCAGCAAAAAATTAAGGTGGTGATACCGCCCGTAACGACTGGACGCCGCGACAAGGCGGTGACCGAGATACAGCAGGTGATTGCTGCATTCAAGCAGAAGACCAAGCAGGTGCGCACGCACGCCACCAAGGCGCTGCAGGACGCCGGCATCGACGAGGACGCGCTGCGCGAGCTCAACGCAGAGCTGGACACAACCACCAACACCTTCACGGCGGAGAAAGTCGCGGAGCTGGAGCAGCTCGCGGAGGATGTGACCTCGATGGGTGCCGACGAGTCCGACATCGAGGCGTGAGGGAAACACGAAAGAGGAGGGCTGCCGCAGTGGGGTGGAGAAGACCCCCCCTCCCTTTCCCCTCCCCTCCACCTGTGAATAAAAGAAGCAAACACCAAATCAACAAGACAAAAAACTGAGGGACATGGAGGCCAAAGCAAACAAAAGACAAGCAACGACTTCCGGGGATAACTGACGGTGCCGTTTGGCAAACTGTCGCCGTCTCTACCTGCAAGAACACTTTTACCTGCTCTGTTTGTATGTGCCATACTTTATCATCGTTGCGTCTTTTTTTTTTTCTCTTTTATCTCTCTCTGTGTGAGGGTCCTACTGGCAATTCCGTCTCCCTGCATTGGCAGCGTTAGTGGGCCTTCCCTCCTCCGGTGGAGCGCACGTTTCCCACCGCTCCTAACGATATTGACTTTTACAACAGGCACGGCCAAAGAGCGACGGTCAGCTGTGTCTTTTCCGACTCATCTGCACCCTGTTCTCCCACACCACCTCCGCGGTGTGTCTACTGCCATCGATGCTGACGGCCAGCGAAAACACAGGCGCCGTGCTTACAACGATCACCTCGCCTGCACCTGTGCTGCCCTAGATCCCGCCGCCGTTAAACTTGCGAGGAGTGTGTCCTGCGTGCGTGAGCGAGTGAAGCGTGCTCCGTGGGTGAGGCGGCGGCTGTATATGATTTTTTCTGTGCCGTGACAGTCTCAATCGGGCCCGCAAGAGCTGCACCGACAGCGTCAACGCGAGCCACCAGAACCATCATGATGCAATCAATCGAGGCATTTGTATGAATACGACAGTGACTTACACCTCCGTGCAACAAGCTACCTACCACAGGCACGGGACTGACGTGTGTGCCCTCCGTACCGCTTCTTCTCTTTCTCTTTCTCTTCCTTCTCTCCCTTTTCTTTCTTTCTTCCTCACGCCGGAGGTTGGCGTTTGTTGTTGCCGTCCTCTTGGCTGCTTAGCGCTTCCCCTGTGGAGTGCGTGGGCAGTGTTCCAGGGTGGGTGGGGTGGGTGGGGTGGGGTGGGGCGCCGCGCCATGCCTGCCAATGATGTGTCAATTTAATTATACACCTGACTGTACGCGTGACGAGAACTAACGCACTGAGCGGCGGGCGCGGGGAATGCGCACTACGCGACCACCGCAGGTAGCACCGTCGTGGAGCACCGACACCCATTGCACCAACGGCGGACTTGCCTTCGGGAGAGTGGACTGGCCACGCACACGCCTCAGCATTACAGGTCCCTTGGCGGCTGTATACATCGATGCCGCTCCACAGGATACCCATTGAGGCCAGACTTGGAGATGACACCATTCACATTCATTGCGACTGGCGGAGGGCAGCTGGAGGTGGGGACGCTGCGCTGCGTGCGACCCGCGACCTCCACACGCTGCTCACCAGCGGCAGTGGTGTTTGTCTGGCGGGTCAGTGGTGCCGCTGCGAACCCCTTGCCTCCCTGTGAACTTGCGTTCCGTGTGCTAATAGGGCGCGAGAACACCGAATAACGCGCCTGGGAATTCCATCGGTATGACCCCTTTTTTAAAATATACATCATTCGAACGGTGTACAGAAAGGCGCTGACACTTTGCGTCTTCATGCTTTCCTCTTCTTCTTTGCTTCAGTACGTGATGACTAGACGTGCAATTCCTGTGGTATCTGAAGCCTCAGTGAGCGAGACACTGCAACGGTGCCCTTCCAAAGGGCGTGCTGACACTTTGCGTCTTCATGCTTTCCTCTTCTTCTTTGCTTCAGTACGTGATGACTAGACGTGCAATTCCTGTGGTATCTGAAGCCTCAGTGAGCGAGACACTGCAACGGTGCCCTTCCAAAGGGCGTGCTGACACTTTGCGT